GAACTCATTAATGTTATTTTTTATTTTTGGTTTGTTCCAAATCTGCAACAATTGTGATTATATTTAGTTTTTGATTATTGATTTATTGTTGAGAACTCATTGTTCAGATCTTCCGGTTTGATGTTTGATGTTTATTATTGCTCTGTTTCAAGTCATCTCATGTTTTTTTTTTTTTGAGCTACTGACGGTTACAATAGTTTTTTTTTTTCTATTCTCTTACTCTGTTAATGATGTTTATTATTGCTCTGTTTCTTATTTTTCTATTGAACACTAATACGTTTTTAGCTGATTCTTTTCCTTATTATATTTGTTCGACCCAATTTTTACCATATTCTTTGTTTAGGTATAATTTCTTCTACCATATTAATTTTCTGGTTTTTCTAGTTTTTTTTATGGAATTGTAAGATAGTTTTTAATGGTTACAGGCATCTTGAGATATTAATTTTTTGGTTTTTAGCTGTAGTATATTGAGAAGAATGCTAGATTAAGGTGCCAATAACTCGAAATGAAACTGAGAAGAGCAAGAAATATGTATACTTTCTTCTCTAGAAACCAAGATTTTGGTTTCTTCAACCTCACATGTTTCTTTGTTCAAATTGTGTCACGTCGTCCCCAAAACAACTATTGTAAGAATGCATGGATTTGTCAAATTAGGATGGATCTAACAATCCTGTAAAATTTTTTCATCAATCAATCACTGGAAAACAAATTTAGCAAGATAAATGGTCTCAGCAACCAAACATAGGTGACAAAATTGAGAAAAAAAATTTCTCTTCCCATCACATCCTTTCTCATCCCATCCCATCCTTTCTCAGCAACCAAATGGAAAGGATCTATTTGGTTTGCAGACATGATAGGAATTGAAATCAGAATTAGAATCACCTATTTTTGACACCTGTTTGGTTTAATTAGGAATTAGAATCGGAATTGGATTCTGATTGTTGTTGTTTGGCTCAATTGGAGTTGTAATTGGAGTCAATTGAAAATTTTCAAATTTGTATTATTATTTTATTGTTATTTTTGTTCATATTATTTTATGAATATATACAAGTACTACTTTATTAATACTTTGTTATTATTGTTTTATTAATATTTAATAATCAATATCTTAGTATTTATCATTAATTGCTAAAAATTTTATTAATATATTACTTTTTTCTTATTACATTAATAATATTTTATTATTATTTTAATGACTGAATTATTATTTTATTATATTTTCCTATTAGTTTGTTAATACACTATTATTTTTGTTTTTATTCTAAAATTAATTTATTATTATTTTAATTATGTTGTATTAATATTTTATTTATACTTATTATTATTATTATTATATTTAAGAATTCATATCTTTGTTTGTTATTGTTAATTTAATAATATTTTATTATTTTATTAATATTAGGGTTTGAGGGTTTTCTTGCCACGAGCTCTTTACTTCTTGAGAGACTCTAGAATGGGAATCTCAAATCCTTAGGGGGGTCTAGAATGTTCATTCCTCGTTATGGGGGAATCCCTTTCCGCCAAGAATAGAAATCAAAATCCCAGTCCTACCAAACAAATAATAGAAATTAAAATGAGCCATTTTTGTTCCTATGCTAGGCACGTATTGCTAAAATCCAAACCCTAAAACCATATTTTTATTTTTCTCTCGTCAGTAACTTATTAACTAGAAATACAGACCTTGTAACGATTGATTTTGATTGCGAAGTCAAGTCGTTCAATCAAACAAGCTCCCCAAATAATTACAAACTACAAAGACATAAAAGTCATGCAATGCCGGTTAAAGGGATGACAGTCACATAGTGTTCTCAAATAATCAATTCAAGATTGTAGTCTGAAAAGTAAGACTATACAATTTC